CTGACTTCTGCTTAGTGGTTGCTCTAGTCCACTTGAAGTCAACTGGGACGGGTGATTTGGCGCACAAATCAATGTCATATCTATTTCTGACCGCAACCGCTGAGTGCATATACGCGCTGGAGCCCAGCACGTAATCTACACGGTGCTTGGCGCCATTCTTGCCAACGAATGTGTATCCAACGGGATGCCCGATTTTGGTGTTTATGGCGTGCGAGTGCGACTGTGCGAGCAACAAATGGAAGTGCTCGCCCGTCTCATCCTGTTGCTGTCGAAAGCCAGCATCACCAGCCCACTCGGAGCAGGTATCCCCCCGCCTGGCGTTCGCATCAACAAACGTCAAATCGACCTGCCACTTCTCACAAAAGGTGACAGTTTCCTCCCAGTAAGCCTGAACTGTCGCGGCCTTGTGTCCGATATGCGGCGCATGCAAAACAGCAACGCGTGCAGTAAGCGCAGGCGAATTGATGGCAACAATTAGCCTACGCGGGCCGCAATGCAGTGCAACTGCGTCCTGCCGTCTAAGAGTTATATGCTTGCCCTTGGCACTCGAGAGAGGTGCCTCTAGGTTGATCCAAAGCTCACATCCGAGTCCCCCCGAGACTGCTCCAGACGAGATGATCATAAACGGTCCCGACATCCTCAATCCCTGCGGATTGCGGGCCTCCTGTACCCCAATGAGATGGAGCTGTTCTTTAGCAAATTGTTTTTTTTTTTATAAAAAAAAATCTGTGTGCGCATGAGGCGCCTCTTTCCCCTGGTTCCGTTTGAAGCCCGACAATACATAGACTTAGCATTGAACTGCATAACCCGAAGCTCAACTTGATACCGAACTTGAGTGAGCTCAGGCTGTTTGGGGCAATCCTCACTACGTACTACTCGCAAGCTGGGGAGTGCTGAGATAAGACAACTGGCCCAGATCGAGACAAGGCATACCTAAACAAGAGTGATCAAAAGGCTGCCGTGCCCACTCCCACTCTCTCCCCTCATGATACGTGGCCATGCTTTGTAAACGAGAGCTGATCATCATGGATGGCACTCTATCCCTGGCCACATATTTGGCAACATTGTCGGCAAGTATATTCCAATGGTGCATGCAATGGCTCTTGATGTGATGGATCGATAAAGGCCCCTTCGCAGAGGCTATCCTGTATGCTATGGCTGCCAAACGTGGCAGCTTGTCCTGACTGGCAGGGATGGCCTCCCCTGTGACAAAGTCGATTGCAGACTGGGAATCTGACCAGATCTCTGCTACCTGGTCGGGCCGCCTGTTGGTGTCACATATTATGGCGATGCAAGTCCATAAAATCCCCAGGACCTCAACGTCAGTGCTATCGATGTTCGACCTCCGAGGGTCCACGCAACAACTATCGCCCCACTTGGCGGCCCAAAACCCAGCGAAGCCAACTTCCCCTTGACTGTCGCTGTGCACGCGTATTATCGCCCACGCTGCCGCAAAGCTATATTCACTACCCATGCCCCGAAAATGGGGCCCGTCAACAAAGTAGGAGATGCCCTGAACTTGATGGCTATTCAGAGCTGGGCAGATTTGAAGTGCGATCCTGGCTGGGGCCTCCACGTCCTGGGCGCGAACCCTCATGTTCCAGGGCGGAGTGCGAACGCCCTGGGCAAGCTCCCACAAGGTTGGCGCAAACGGAAGGTCCACAGTCCTGGTATGCAAATCCGCTCCCTCAAGTGAGGGCGTCAGGCTAGTGGCGCCGGCTCCACTGTCGCTCGATCCGTCGCACCCCGCGTGGGACAGGAGAGGAGTCGGTGCGGCTGTGCCAATTGGGGCTGTCTTCGCTGTAAACTCTCCCGTGGGTACTGACCCACTAGACAAGAACGCAGCAGAAGATGATGGCGGACTTTTTTCCGACCGCGGCGACGGTTCGCCACAGAAGGAGCCACTGAAAAGTACAGAAGGTGAGTGGCTCTTCGCACCAGCAATGCCGTCGCTGGTGCTGTCTGCTGCAATGGAAGGTGAATTCGAGGTTGATTTCGAGAAATCATCCGAGAGCACAGAGAGACTGCAAGACGAGCCGTAAGTCTGGCCCCTGTTTTTTCCCCCAGGGTCAGAGACAAAAGCGCTCGCTTCGCTGCCAAAGTGGCTGTTGCTAGAGCTGCTGGAGGCTAATTGCTCAAGCAGGTTGCGTCTGGAACTATGCGAGGTGCTGCTCAGCTGCTGGCTGAGCTCACTCATCACCCCTTCGAGTTTGTCAACATTGTTGTTGCTGTTGCTGCTTCCCTGGCTGCAGTCCTCAGCTGGTATTGTGATCAGAACCCTGCCCTGCCTGACCGAAGTTGACTCGCTCTTCAGAATTGATGGTGTAGATCTTCTGGAAACTACTGCGACTGGTACTGGTGGTTCATCATCTGGGAAGAACTCTCTTACTGCGGTGGCACCCCAGCGTGGTCCCCGCGCGGGACCTTCTGGGGAGGCGACTTGATCGGCGTGCCTTCCTGGGGGCCCGCACAGGCCAAGTCGATCTCCGCCACGACCCTCTTCATCTCCTGGGTCGACAAAACTGGAGACGCCTCCACCACCACTTGTCTCGTGACGCTTGCTTGAGGTCCAGGAATGGTCTCCGCCTGCGAGTTGGGAATAGGCTGCGTCGGCGAGATCGGCGGGCGATATGAGACAGGCGTTGGACTGGCTTCGAAGAGCTCCCTCTGAAACTCCTGCGCACTCATGCCGCTCTCGCCTGCGATCGGTGTCTGGCATCCCCCAATCGGCGCCTTGCCCACTGGCGTGGTGGGGTACGGCGACGGCTGCGCGGCGGGAACAGTGTTCGGTGTGTGGGGGCTGCTCCCTTCCCCCGTCTGAAAAGGCGCCGTGCCTCCCGATCCCGATGCCGATCCAGGAACGACTCCATGATCTCCCGAAGCTGTCGTGGCCCCCGATGCTGAAGTGCCTGGGCTCCTGCCAACTGGGATCTGGTAGGCGTCTACTGGCGCCTGCTGAGGCGCCAGCTGCTGAAACCCCATGGGCATCTGCTGCTGAAAATGTTGCCGCTGCGCGTGCTGTGCCTGAAGTGCGCGAACCACTTCTCCAAGCACCTTCTCCGACTCGTTCTGTCTGTTGGCCATGCCGATGAGCAAGCCCCTGAGCTCGGTGAGCGGGCCCTGGGCCACATGGGCCTGCTGATGTTGCCCCTCCTGCGACGGCGGGGGCTGCGCCTGCGCAGCAGGCGGCGGCGCGGCTTGCGGCGGCGCCTGTGGCGCGGCCCTCGGCGGCACCTGAGGCCCGTGGGGCCCTGCCGCCTGCTGCATGGGCTGCTGTGCCCCCATGGCCTGGCCAAAGCCAGCCCCAGGCGCAAAGGGCTGCTGCTGCGGCTGCGGCGGCCCAGGCCACTGGGCGGGGGCGGGCGCGCAGCCTGGCGCTGGAGGCATGGGCTGCCCTAGCGGTGCCCCGCCCGCTGGTGGCGGCGGCGGCGGGCTGATGTGCATCTGCTGCACCTGCATGGCCGCGTCGTCCTCGCTGATGAGCTCCTCGAGCTCCTGGATGCAGGTCCTGAGCTGAGCTATGTCGTTGGTGTTATCGGTCTCCTGGGCCTCTAAGTCCTTGATCCTTGACTGCGTGCTGCGCAGGCGCTCGATAGCACGGTCGAGGCGGTCTTTGTACTCCCCTATCTGCTGCCTGAGTGGCATTGTATCCTGCATCATGCACTTGTGGATCGCGATCTTCCTGTCGTGGATCTCTGCGAGCTGGATTTCTCTCGCGCGCCTCGTAGGTCTGGTCGGCGGCGGCTTGCTCCTTTGTCATAGGAGGGACCCTCGCCAAGTATGTCTTCACTTCTTTCTCGGTGAAGGTCGGTGCCTGATGCCTCTGGCGGCTGGGCGGCCTCGGCTGGTGGCGCGGCGGTCGGCCATCCTGCCGAGAGGGCCCCTGCTGCGGTGTGTAGTGGTTGCCACAAAAGCACTGACGGTGTCCTCTGACGTAGCGCCCGCAACGTCCGCAATCCCATGTTGGAATGTTCCATGCCATCACACTGTCTCGGGAACGAGGCGAAGGTTGATTCTGAGCAGAGTGATGTGACTGCAACAAGAGATATGCCTGGTGCAATCTGACGAGCGTCCTGGCTCGTGATCGAAGAGCTCTTGCACGCCGATGCCAACCTCCTTCCACTGGCCTCGCCGTGGCCAGCCTAGGAGGCAGCTGCTATCGTGCGCGGCAAGAAGTCGCAGCTCGCGGGAGCGAGCACGACGGGGCTCGGCAGAGCAAAATCCCTGTGCTCAGGCCAAACCCTCTCCTCCTCCTCCTCCTCTTCCTCCTCTTCCTCCTCCTCCTCCTCCTCCTCCTGCTCCCCCTGCTCCTCCTCCTCCTCCTCCTCCTCCTCCTCCTCCTCCTCCTCCTCCTCCTCCTCCCCAGCCACGGCCGCCCACCCACAGAGAAGCAGTCAACGGCATGAGCACCACCTCTCGGAGGTCCGCGCGTACCCCGAGCTTCGGGGACCTCCGCTGGCAGTGGATATGGATAGATTCAGTTGGGCCTCGCGGGGCCTACAGTCAACCCGCACTACAAGGACGCGCGATAGGGATGCACGGGCCATTGGAAGGCCATGTCGACACTTTTTGCGAGGGGGGCGCGGCCAGCGAACGCGGCTCAGGAGGGGCCGAAGGGGAACGGTGCAAGGGTAGCCTTGGGAAGTCGCTCATCCTTACTGTGCGGGTTGACTGTAAATGGATCCATCTTCACCGCCCCGTGGGGCCCCCGGACTTCGGTTCCCTAGGGGGACCTTTCGAAGACAAACAAACTGCATAAGCATACACTTTTGGAGCTCCGCGCAGATTTCTTGCATCGGCGCTGGGCGTCCTGCCTGGGCGTCGCGTAGCGCGCCAGGGGCGGCGCCGGAGGCGCCCAGGGGGGCCCGGCGCCGATCCAAGAAATCCGCGCGGAGCTCACTGAAATCATATTGGTGCAATTTGCTAGGGTTGGGCCACAAGATACCGATACCGTTGCGAATCCCCAGGCATCTCCTGGAGTGCGTTTTGACCGGGAATGCGAGGCCAATCGAGCCGTGGCGACGAGGGCCTCCCAGGAGGCCTCAGAGGGCGAAAACCAGGCAAGGGGTGAGCGCCTTCGGCGCCTGTTCCCCCTCTGAATTCTGGTTCTTTCCCTCGGAGGCAGAAGGGAGACATCGCACACGCCTGACCACTGTCCAACTCGTGCCAGGGAGTCGGCAGGCAACCCGGATGAGTGAGGCAGGGACCGCCGTCGCCCCTTCCTCCCGGGTGGGGCCTGCGGGACGCCAGAGGACGGCTGACGCGAGCCGCCCCCCAAACGTGTCGGGCCGCCGTGGCACACCTGGTGCCGCTCCCCCTCTGCGGCTCCCCGTGCCTCGAGCCGCGCCCTCGCCCTCCCCGTCGGGCGCCCCTGCCCGCGCTCGGCGCCTCGACCCCCCCCCTCCCCCCTGGCATTTTTGTCGGGGCGGCGGGGCCAGCCGGGCGGTGCACAGAGAGGAGCGCCCCGTGGCAACGGGGATGGCAGCGAGCAGCGCTCTCCGTCACTCCGAGCAGCGCTCCCCGTCACTCCGCCGGCGCGCCGCCCGCGGGCTCGGCGGGCTCGGCGGGCTCGGCGGGCGCGGGCTCCGCGGGCCGGGCCCCGGCCCGCAGGGGGTCGAGCGGCGGCGGATCGGCGGCCACGGCCTGGGCGGGCCGGGGCAAGGGCCCCCCAAAAGCGACCCGAAGACCCGCGCTTCGGGGTGGGGGGGGGGCATACGGGCTTCACATTTGCGTTTGTTCCCCAATGTCCCCCGACCCCTCACCACTGGGAAATGGAGGGCAGATCGGGGCCTTCGGGTTGGGTTGGGGTGGCTCGGTAGGCGGCGGAGAAAGGCCCCCAGGATGCCAAAGACGCCTCCAGTGGCCTCTTCCCTCTGCCTCCTCCGCCTCCGCCTCCTCCTCCTTCTCCTACGAGAAGAGCGGCGCCCATGCGCCGACACTTGCTCCGTTCGGGCGGCGCTCGGGCGCGGTGCGGTGGACAGTCCCTGGTGCCCGAAAAACTGTGCACCGTACCACTCCTGGGTCTAGAACCAACGACGCCTCGGCAGACGCCAGCGCAGGACGGTGCACAGAAATCGTCCGCGGATATCTTCCTCCTCCTCCTCCTCCTGCCTCTCCTCCTCCTCCTCCTCCTCCTCCTCCTCCTCCTCCTCTTCCTCCTCCTCCTCCTCCTCCTCCTCCTCCTCCTCCTCCTCCTCCTCCTCCTCCATTCTCTGCCTCTCCCAAGCGTTCCCCCCCCCCCCAAGAAGTTCCTGCCCCCCCCAGCGAGATCACGAGCGGCGACAGTATCCGCAGCGGCGACGAGCGGCGACAGTATCCGCAGACATGTTCGCGTCCTGTAAAAATCAGGACGGGAAATGTTTGACCGTTTTGGATCTCTTGTGGCCCTGATCGGGCCCCGGGACCGTCAAGCAACTACTCGGGGTGAAAAACCGATCCTGGGGAAAGGGTCGAAACCTTCGGACCACGTATGGAACTAATCGTGACATGGCATGTCTGGGTTCGCTGCTGGCCAGGGTCGCCTAAAGGTGCCCCAGGAGGTGGACCCCAGCGTAGAGGCTCCTGGGAGGTCTCCGTGGGGAGGATTATGGGCTATGAGACCCGATTGAGGGGCCATTGAGCGGAAGTCCATGATGAAGCCCAAGAATGAGCCAAGGTCGGCGGGACTAAACGGCATTCCGTAACCGGTCTCGGTGCCGAATGAGGCCGGCTTTCGGCCACAGATCTACCAGGCGCCGATGGCATCGGCGCCTGGAATATCCGTGGCCGATGCTGAATTGAACCTCCCAGGAGCTGCATCCCAGCCCAGCTGCTCGAGCCGTTCCGGAGCCCCCCTGCGGGGCCTGCGGGCCTCGCGGGTCGTGCCCTGGAGGCCACCTCGGGGCCTGCCGTGAGGTCCTGGGGACGCCCTGGGCCGGGGACACCGTTGGCAGCACCCGGGCTGGCCCCTTTGCCCTCGTTGGCGGCGGCGCCCTCGGCGTCGGCGGCGCCCACCTTTGCCGCCTCCTCCGCCCACTTGTTGCGGTTGTCCACCGCGTGCCGCCAGATCGAGTAGGTGACCAGGATCAGCATGCTGGTGAGGACGCCGTTCCAGGAATGGGAAAGCGCGACGTTCCGGAAGCCTCGCGCGCCCTGGAAGCACAGCCCCGTCACCAGGTCCGCGTACGCCGACTTCAGGAAAGAGCAGCTGCTGCCGTCGACGATGCTGTTCACTGGGCCTGTGATCTCTTCCGCCACGAGGTTCTTCAGATTGACCGAGATTGCGTCCTGTTTGGCGACGAGCACGTCGTCAACGCGAGTGAACACGTTGCGCAGACGGGTATCCCAATCCTGGACATACTGCTTGAACTCCGCCAGTGTGCAAGTCACCTGTTTCCTCGTCACCGAAGCGCCTCCGTTTGTCAGGCAGTCCCCAGTGTACCCGGTATCGGCATCGCCGGCCATGTCTTTCAGATCACAATCGTTCCCAGCCGCGTCCTGGAAGATATCGCAACGGTATGTTGCGGCATTAATGAGCTCTGCCTTGAGATCCATCAATAGGTTGGCATCATCGCATGCGTCCTCGCAGGTGTTCACACCACTAACTATGCAGTCAGTTGGCCAGGAGTCGCACACGACCTGCCCGGTGCATACCGCAGCAGGCGTTGTAGGCGTGGACGTTCCACCGCTGTTCAATGACAACAGATTGGCCTCCAGCGTACTAATCCCGTATATCGTTTCGCCTTGAAAAACGAAATCAGAACACGCCAAGGATGACCCCGCTCCGACTCGTAAAGAGCTGGCGAGTGGACGAGAATCTTCGACAATGGCCTCGTAGTCTGTACCCGGAAGCGAAAGTGGGTCAATGATTATGAGATTGTCCACTGGGTTATTCGCAATGAGGTCGAGTAGTTCGAGCAAGCTTGCGTCCTCCATTAGCTTCGCTCCGCTAGCAAGCTTCACATCCAACATATCGAACTTCGCATTCATCAGATCAGTTGTCTGTGACTGGATCTGCTGTCTCATGGACATCTTTGTGCCGTTGTCCCGCGTGAACAGAATGTCCATCAGGATAGCAGCGTCTGAGTTCTGCAAGGAAAAGCAGCCGTCGATCATGTCCTTCATCATGTCTAAATCATCTTGGTTGGAGGTTTCGACGCCCAACGCTGGCATGATCTCACCGAGTAGCTGCCCATCTAACTCGTCCAGAGGCAGGCAAACGCTGCCAATCAGCACGCTTACCACCACCATGATTCCACCGATGAACAAAACCACCACAGCATAGCCCCAACCGCAGCACCAAGAACAGCACGCGCAGGGCGCGATCTTGTTGTTCCAAGGGTTCTGTCCAGCCTCCTGCTTGCTTGTGCTGTACTCGTTCAGAGTGCAGCAAGCCGCCGAGGTGCAGCCGCATGCTGCCAGCATCAGAACCAGCAGGGAGAGGACGACCACCCACAAGCCAACAAAATCGATGAGATGATCCTGGTAATCCTTGAAATCGTCCTCCAAGAAGAACTTGAAGCTGTCTCGAATCATCGTGGCCGAGTCCCGGAGCGGGCCCACGCCCCCGTCGAAGGCGATCCGCAGATCCGCGCGGCTCTCGGACCCCAGCTGGGTCTGCACCTCCGTGTAGACGTCCGCCATGGCCTTGCCCGAGCTGTCGGCCACCGCGGTCGCGAGTTGGGAGAGCGGAACGGCCAGCGTGGCGCAAAGCTGGCACGTGTGCAGCGCGCCAGTGGGGTCTCGGACGGGGGCTGGCGGGTGCATGTTGGCAGGCAGCGCGAGGGTGTCCGACATGAGCTGCAGCGCCTGCTCGGCCAGGTAGGAGGACGTGACCACATCGGCGGTCGCGTCAAGGATGGTGAACACGCCGCTGACAAAGGTGGAGTTATCGGCGAGGACCCCTTTCATCTCGCTCAACTTATCCAGCATCGGGAGCATGCCGATGAAATTCTCGTCCGCATTGCCATTCAGGGTGTAGTTCACGACCCTAGCAGCCGTGCAGGACGTAGCCGTCAGCCCTTCGTCTATGTGATCCCTGCCGGCGAGGGCCATCACCACTGAAAAGACCATGCACGCCGTCAGAAGGAGCACGCAAAGTAGTATGACGATCTTGAGGATTTTAGGTCTGTGGCGCTGCTTGGCGCAACAACGGCAGCACTTACAACATGGGCAAGCTGTCCAACAAAAGAAGAACCATAGCACCGCCAGCACAACCGCGAAAACGATGGGGCCGACGGTGCTGCCAATCCATCGTATGTCCGCCTTATCCTCGAACTTGTCGGAGAGCTCACTGGAGCTGTTCGCCTCCTTCAGCGCATCCAAAATAATGTTCTCGCTCCCCACCGAGTTCCTGAGGCTGACCCGCCCAGCCTCTATGTCGACGTTCGTCAGGTCGACCCCGTCGCAGAACTCCTCCATGCGCTGGCTAGCCAGGGCGGAGACCTTCGCTGGGCGCGAGCTACACAATGTTTTTCGTATTCGCTCTCTTTCAAGTCTTCCTCGCTCTGTCTTCGCCCTTCGCTGCAAAACTAGAGGCCTCCTAGATGAGGTCCGATTAGATGGGGTCGGAGGATCGCGCTGCATCGGCAACGTCGGCGATGTACAGGCGCCCTCAGCGTGGAGAAAATCCGGCTCAACATCGAACCACATCGCCGATGCATCGGCCATGCGGCGCGATCCCCCGGCCCGATCTTCTCCGACACCATCTGGGAGGCCTGGAAGAAACGATATCAAAACAACAACTGCCCACGAAATCGCCCACACACCGTTCAGCTCGCGCCCTGGACCTTCGTGTCCTCCTCCGTCACGTAGGTCACACCTTCGCCGCCGCTGCCCGAAGCCAGCCCGGCGAGCGCCGCGGAAACCAGCAGCGCGCGCCCTGTGCGCCATCGGGATGCCATGTCCATCGGCCCTCCGAAGCGCGCGCGGCTCCAGCGGGAAGTGGCCGGCAGTGAGCGGGAACGATCGGGGGGGACCGGATCAGTGGGAGGATCCTCGAGCCGGAATCGGCGATGCATCGCCGATCGATCGGCGAGAGGTCCCCGATGGCGGATCCGCACGGCCCTGGGCGGGGTGGGCTACCAGGCCCGTCGGAAGTGAGCGAGTGACTGCGGGTGGATGCTTCGCCCCCTGGTCCGATCGCCCCCTCTCGTCGCCCCTGTGGGAGACCTTGCCGCCCCAGGGCTTGAAATCGAACGTGGTCTGAGACAAAAGGGCTCTCGGATCAACGCTGAGAGCTGCAGTCAGAACTGCGGGATGGTCGTTTCCCCCATGAACTCGAAGCAGGGAGGATGAAAAGTGCAGACTCTCCCACTGAAGGGGAGGGGACCACACCATGCGAAGCAGCAGCCATGGACAAGAAGGGAGAGGAACAAGAGGAGGAGGAGGAGGAGGCATTCAGAACTGCAGGATGTTTTGTCTTGGGGGGGACAGGGCACGGTGTTCCGCAGGCCCTTCCGCGGGTCTTCCTCTGGCGCTCATCGTCCTCCAACGTATCCTTAGGTCGAGCATGTCCTCCTACAGGTGGATTTCGAAAGAAAAACAATCAATAGTCCAGAGAGACCCGTTGTATGGCAATAGTAGCAGAGGAAATCGTCACTCTACTATTGTTTGACTATTCTTGAATACTCTTCCTGTAGAGGACATGCTCGACTAACGTATTCTCGAATCTGGAACCTCCATCCCCAGCGGCCAACCGGCCTCTCCTGAGGTGCGTATTGTCCGCGTCTCGGGGCGGAGTCCAGCCGTGGTAACAAGAACCCCTTCTGGAGGCTAACAACAATTGCAAGACCTGACACTCGAACTTCGATGCATTTCCCCAGGACCCGCTTGTCACCTCGTGTTTCGGTCTCAGCCCGAGAACGGCGAAAAACCTACAGGATCCCTTACTCCCAGGAATATCAGCTTCATGCCTTCTGACATTGAAAACTGCTATCCGTGCGCGTACGGCAGCTGTTTTCGCTCAAGCGGAATGAGCATCCCAGGCAGGAGAGCTCGCGGCGCTCACAGCTTCAGTGGACGCCCGCGGTTGTCCATGGAGTCTTTTTGCATCTGTGGAGGCCAGCCGACTTTACAATGCCAGCCATCCGAGGATGTGCTTTTTCCTCAAACAGCTGGCTGAACGGGGCGCTGCTGTGATAGAAGCCAGTTCCCGCCAGGGGCCGGACGAGCAGAGGCATCCTCAAAACAAATCGGTGGTCCGGGCCGTTTCGCCAGAGACATCCTCACAACTCTGGTTTACGAGTTGACCAGATTGGGCGCTTCGCTTGAGACATCCTAGCAACTCTGAGCTCCGAGATGCCGCGCGCGAGGTGGTCTGTCGCATTTCGCCTGAGACATCCTGGCAAGTATGATCTCCGAGATGCCGCGTGAGAGGTGGTCCAGTAATCTGAGCTCCGAGGTGAGGTGGTCTGGCGTGTTTCGCATGATACATCCTCGCAACTCTGGTCTTCAAGGTGCCGCGCGAGAGGTGGTGTGGCGCGCTTCGCCTGAAATATCCTCGCAATTCTTGGCTTTGAGATGCCGCGCGCGGGTTGGTCCAGCGCGTTTTGCCTGAGACATCCTTGTAAATCCGATCACTGAGGTTCGGCGCGCAAGGTGTTCCAGCCCGTTTCGCTTGAGACATCCTCGAAACTCTGGGCTCCCAGATGTCGCGCGCGAAGTGTTCCAGCCCGTTTCGCCTGAGACATCCTCGACACTCTGGGCTTCGAAACGCCGCGCGAGGTGGTCCAGCGCGTTTCGCCTGAGACACAATGGACACTCTGATCTCCAAGATGCCGCGCAAGGTGGTCCTATGCGTTTCGCCTGAGACATCCTCGCAACTCTGAGCCCCGACCTGCCGCGCGCAGGGTATTCCAGCGTGTTTCGCCTAAAACATCCTCGCAACTCTGGGCTCCGAGCTGCCGCGCGCGAGGTGGTGCAGCGCGCTTCACCTGAGGCATCCTTGCAACTATGGTATCCGAGATGCTGCGCGCGAGATGGTCTGGCATCTCGCCTGAGACATCCTCGCAACTCTGGGCTCCGAGATTCCGCACGAGAGCTGGTTCGGTCCGTTTCGCCTTCAGACATCCTCCCAACTCTGGGCTCTGAGAAGATGTGCGCGAGGTGGTCCGGCGCGCTTCGCCTGATGCATCCTCCAAAGTCTGAGCTCCGAGATGCTGCGTGCGAGGTGGACTGGCGCATTTCGCCTGAGAGATCCTACTATGGTATCCGAGATGCTGCGCGCGAGATGGTCTGGCACGCCTTGCCTGAGACATCCTCGCAACTCTGGGCTCCGAGATGCCGCGCGAGAGGTGGTTCGGTCCGCTTCGCCGCAGACATCCTCACAACTCTGGGTTCTGGGGAGATGTGCGCGAGGTGGTCTGACGCGTTTCGCCTGAGACATCCTGGACACTCTGGGCTCCGAGAGGGAGGAAGGAGAGTCAGACCCAAACGAACCATTTGAGCACACTTCTGTTGTCGAATTGTGCTCTGGAAGGGGTCTGGGCTCCGCCTGGTCCATGCTCGCATGCCACGTGAGAGGTGGTCCAGCGCGTAGAGGAAGAGGTGTCAGACTCAAACGAAGCATTTGATACATTTTCTGCTGTCGAATTTCGCTCTTGAAAGGGTCTGGGCGCCGCCTGCCTGATCCATCCTCGCAACTCTGGGCTCCCAAATGTCGCGCGCGAAGTGGTCCAGCTCGTTTCGCCTGAGACATCCTCGCCACCGCTGGGCTGCGAGATGCTCTGCGCGAGGTGGTCTTGCCCGTTTCGCTTGAGACATTCTCACACTCTGAAATCCGAGGTGCTGCACGCGAGGTGGTCTGGCACGCATCGCCTGAGATGTCCTGGCAACTCTGAGCTCCGAGATGCCGCGCGAGGTGGTCTGGTCCGACTCGCCTGAAACATGATCGCACCTCTTGGCTCCGAGATGCAGCGCGCGAGGTGGTCTGGCGCGTTTCGCTGCAGACATCTTTGCAACTCTGGGCTTCAACATGCTGCGCGCGAGGTGGTCCAGCGAGCGTCGCCTTAGACATCCTCGCAACTATGGGAATCAAGACGCCGCGCGCGAGGTGATCCAGCGCGGTTCGCCTGGGACTTCCTCGAAACTCTGGGTTCCGAGAGGCTGCGCGCGAGGCGGTTCGGCGCAATTCGCTGAGACATCCTCGGAACTTGTGTTCCGAGAGGGAGGAGGGGGAAGGGAGGAGAGGTCAGACCCAAACTAACCACGTGATTCCACTTCTGTTGTCGAATTGCGCTCTGGGATGATCCCTTCTCCCTTCTCTGAGCTCCCAGGTGTAGCGCGCGAGGTGGTCCAGCTCGTCTCGCCTGAAACATCCTCGCAACTCAGAACTCCTAGGTAGCGCGCCGCGCGCAAGGTGTTCCAGCCCATCTCGCCTGAGGCGTCCTCGCAACTCTAGGCTCCGAGAACATGTGCGCGGGGTGGTCTCGTGCGTTTCGCCTGCGATATCGCCACAACTCTGAACTCCGAGATACTGTGCGTGAGGTGGTTCGGTACGCTTCGCTGGAGACATCCTCGAAACTCTGGGTTCCGAGATATAGGAGGGATGGGGGGGAGGGAGGACTGGTCAGACCCAAACGAACCATTCACGGTTGTCAAATTGACCTTTTGGATGGGTCTGGGCGCCCCTGGCCCCTCCGAGGTACCTAGCGTTGACGCGCGAGCGCAATTCCCGGGTGCATTCCAATGGTTTCTCAGGAAGAACGATGCGTGAGCAAATCTTGGGGATGCCTCGAGCGAGAGCGCGGTGAGCAGGGAAGAGGCGGGATGGGGCAGAAGAAAAGGCCATGGAGAGGATGCCTCCTGGAAGCGGCATCGAGAGTGCGAAGGCATCCGTAGCAAGGCGGATACGAACAGGGACGAGGAGGAGAAAGAGAACGTGGAAACTGACAGGAACGATGAGGAGGGTGATGAGGAATGCAAGGACGGGGAGAAAGAGGAGGAGGAGGAGGAGGAGGAGGAGGAGGAGGAGCATTGCGAGGAGGAAGAGGATACGGCACTGCCGAGGGAAGCGTCGCGCTGTGCACGAGCGCCCACCAAGGGCGCCAAGCTGCTGGCAGCCTGGCTGGCCTGCGAGGAGGCTGGGACCCCACCAAGAGGATCTCGGGTACCAGCCACACAGACAACGATACGGGGATTAAGCCCCGCAGCCTGGGTGAGAAGGTGGGCTCCCGTGGAGCCTGACCCAGTGAGTCTCAGGGTCTGAGACAAGTAGCGGACGAGGTGCGGGAACGCGACGTGAGCCCTCCATTCCTTCGTCCGCAGGATGAAAACCTTGCATGAAAAGGCGTCGGTTGCGCACCGCCCGTTCTGACAGGCGGTGCGTGCTTCCCGATGGGCAATCAATTAGGAGGTGACCAGCCGTGCCCGTCGTAAAAGCCCACAGGAAACGCACAGGCAAACATGGCCCGAGGAAACCCAGAGCCGGTGGCAGCGAGCGGCCGTGGCAGGAACGGGGCCCGCTCCTGGCATAGGCTCGGCTGGTACTGTCGTGTCGGCCAGCGAGGGCCGACTTGGGCGCTTGGAGCCGATCCGCCTCCGCTTGTCGGGGAGGAAGGTGGGCCCCGAGCGCTCTAGAAAAGAAAGAACCCTGGCAGTGGCTTCGGCCTGGACACTCGCAGCTCCATCCCAGGCAACAGCGACGGGCTCGAAGCCCACGCGTGGCCTGACGTGCCTTTCAAAGCCAGGGGAGGGGCTACGAGGGCGAGGCAAGGAAGGGCCACCCAGGCCCGAGGACGGAGGGGGGGATCCGCCTCCCCTTGGTCACACACCTGGCCACGCGTGGGGGACTCCGTCCGAGGGCGCACCGATCGAAACGAGTCCGATGGGGGAGCGAGGTCGCACAGCAGCAACGAAGCTGCTGCCCTCATTCGTCGGCATCTGCCCTTCATTGTCAGCCTGGGCGCGCACAGCGTGTCCAGGAGGGGTGACAGTGGAGGGGCGCCGATGGATGGCGGCGGCAGCACGCAAACGAGCAGGGCAGGCAAGCTCAGAGAGACGACGACGGGTCCTTTCCAGCTTCGAGCCCTTTCTACAAAACTCGCATCTCCAAAAGCTGCGATGGGGGGCCAGGGTAAAAAACATGGCGCAGGTGAACCGATTCCTCCCTGGGCTCCAGAGGGGCCGAGGGACGCCGAGGGCGTCGACATTTCTTGCGGGGCCGAGTGTCGACCCGCTGTTCGCCAAAGAAAAGTCCCAGGGCAGTAGTACTCCATCGCAGGATGCGCGTGTAGTGTTGGTGGCCAAGCTTCATAGCTTTGACCTGTATTCTGGGGATGGAGTGGAGGTCTCTGCCATAGCGCGCAGCAAGGTCAGCCCACCGGTTGCCGCGGGCGTCGGTGCTCTGTCCCTGCTGGTGCCCTCTGACTAGGGTAACTCTCACATCAGGCCCCACCTCGCCCAGATCAGAAATCTTGGCCCACATGCGTTCCCAGAGATCAGCGTTTAAACGCCGAGGCGAGCAGCGCCACCGGTTTATGATGTAACCGTCGAGGCAGATGTAATGGGAAGCGGGAATAAATCAGAGTGACTCTTGAAGTAGGTTTCGGCGCTTTCCCACCAATACCTCGAATATGACTTGAAACATGACCCTGGGAATAGGTTTGCTGAGGCGGTCACGCCAGTGCTCATGGAGAAACGTTGCGTTCCACACACACGGGGGATGACCATGCACACCCCCAACGATAAGACGAGATGCACGACAGCGGTTGCATACATGTACATACAGCACACCGATTGGTTTGCGGAACGGCATTGGTGCAGGCAGGCGTCGTAAAGACATAGGGCAACTTGCAAGTTACAATTGCTGCGATGGCCGATGCATCCATTGCCTGGCGTGGTCCAACAGTCACACCTTTGCGTTGGATGGACTGAGCAAGCGAACAAAAGCACGGTACATACACACGGGGGCATTAAGGATGGCAGAGGAAGGGGGGAGCGATGAGGGGGCAGGGTGGATGGGAAAGTATGGGTGGAAGGACTTGCTGGATGGCGCACGAGAGGAGCGGCGAGACAGAGAGAGGCACGAGGGCGGCATGACGGCAGACGAGAGAGAGATAGAGCGGGCGGCCAGAGCGAAAGGGGGAGGGTGAGGAGGGGTGGGGGACGCAGAGGGGAGGGGAGGCGGCGGCGTGAGGGAGTGAGGGAGTGAGGGGGGAGGGCGCACGAGAGCAAACGAGAGAACACATAAGCCAGACGATAAAGAACGACAAGCCCGTGACATCCTTTGGTGTCGACGTCCTGCACGCTGCGCCCTGCCCTGCCACGCGGACGGAAGAGGGGCAAAGAGCGGAAGGGGGCAGCTGGAGACAATGCGGTGACAAGGTTTTCTCTCCAAACGGCGGTCGTGCTTCTCTCTTTCGACAAAGCCCGCTGCCACCTGCCCCTGGCCAGCAACAAACACAGGTAGTGCAGGAGCTAAAAAAGCAGGACACGTTGGGTTGACACATAGCCAACTAAGTAGCATGACAGAAACAGAGAAGGATGAAGAGTTAATGATATCAATATTCACACCCATCCTACACCCCCTCCTCCAACTACATTCGTCGTCTGACCCTCATCGTTTTTAGTTCTTCGGTCACCGTCCATCCTTCTTCCCTCAATCGCCCATCCTCCGTCTACCTCTAACTCGACCCACCCTGCCCTCCCGCTCCGTCCTCCTCTTTTCCTTCTTCGCGTGGTTCATGTGTTTTCTTCCGTTCGACAAGCCCTCTCGCAGCCCTCTTCGCTCTCTAATTCTCTCTCAATGTTGAGTTGGTTCGTAGCCCTCCAGGCTCTCATGATGCTGATGACCATCATCCTCCTTACCACCGATCCTCCTCTTTACCCTCATCGTGCCACTACCATGGCTACGCTCAAGCATCGTACCCTCGTCTATGGTCACGGTGTGTTGCTGTGGCAGGGGCGAGCATGGCGGGCAAAGCACTGACCGTCCCCCTGCCCGACTGTGGCACGAGTGTCGTGAGGGTTACCCGCACTTCAGGGCACAAGCCTCTGTGCCCCTACTCCCCCACGCAGGCCCTCAGTGGGAGGGGGGCCCCCTTCGGGGCGAATTAAGGAGCCAGCCCCTGTGGGCTTCGGCGAACCCGATCTCCGCTCAGCCCTGGATGATCTTATTAACGGGCTTCTGGAGAGGACGGAAGAGCACTTCGTTCCATTTCACCCCCTGCGGCAGCGATGCCTTCAGCTCGAACAGCTCGTTCTGAACCTTGTCGCGCAATTGCTGGCCCTTGGCAGTGGAGCTCATCGCGACGCAGATCAGCGCCTCTGCCTTCGTCACCTTGGCGGCTAGGATCTGGTCCATCACTAACTTCTCAACTGCATCGCCCAGCCGATCGCCAGTGGCCTCGAGCGCATCCTTGAAGCTGGTCTTGGCCTATTGGACGATGCAGTCAGGAAGCGTACCCGCCCACCCCCGCCTCGGCGATGGGGGGAGGGCGGGTACACCTCGCGACCACCGCCCAAGACGCCCATCGACAGGACAATCCAACTCGTCAACCCAGGGGGGCGCCCACAAGCAGGTTGATCACGGGCGGCCTTGGCAACTGCACCGAATGCAGCGATCAGCTCCCTGATGCGCGGCGCGGTGAGGACCTCGGTCGATTTCTGCAAGACCGCATCGATGGAGACGGCAGCGGGGTCCAGGTCCTTGTGCCACGCCTCGCCGTTCGTGCCGCCGTGCTTGACGATATCCAGCGACTCTTGCGCCTTCTGGAGCGTGCTGCCCAGCGACTTCACGCGCTGCTCGTGGACGTTCTTGATGTAGATGCGGGATGCCTCCATCATCTCATCTACCTTGGCAATGATGGGGTCCCCCTGGACGACCGTGTTCGGTTTCAGCTCCTCGATGTACTTGGAGAGCTTGGCCCTCGCCCTGTCCACGTGCAGCATCGTCTCGAACATGCTCTGGTCAAGCGCGTAAGCCGCCTTGCACTCGGCATCCTTCCAACCGTTGAGTGCTGGTCCATATGTATTGGCGAAGCTGTAGATGCGATCGAACAGCTTGATTTTATCCCTGCATGTGGAATCAGCCAGACCGTCCACCTTCGCCATCTCCCGAACGGCTGCAATAATCGAATGTAGATCATGCTCACTATCCGTAACGTTTAAGCTCAGCGTCTTGACGAGCTTGTCCAGCAGAGAGTTCGCCCTGCTCGCTTGCTCTGGGTCCTCCGACAACTTAATGCCAACCGAAACGTTCAAGATCTTCGTAAGCTCATCCAGGAAGGGGTTGATGACGTGGAAGGTCTGGGGCGGGAAATTGTCGAACAGGGCGGGGTCCGCTTCAGCGGGTGGGTTGATGACGACAAGCGTGGACACCACCACGGCGTCGATGGTGGCCCACTTCTCGTTGCAGCGCAGGCTCTGCGTGACCTCCTCGATCTCCTGGTGGCGCTTGGTGAGATTGCCGTTGGAAGGCCACACCAGGAAAGCTTCCGACAGGAGGTCCAACTTCGGCGTCAGCTCCTCAAGTGCAGGCTGCTTGCCTGCGACGATCTCCGTGGCGTCAATCACGGCGGCGTACAGGCCGTCAGAGAAGGTCGCCAAGGTCGGGAGCGGCACCTGCTTGCACCAAAGGACGCACAACTTCACCAATTCAGTCACCTTCGTCAGGCGCACGATGGGGTCTGAAGGCAGCGACACCAGTGTCTCGAGCGCACCTGCAAGCTTCGGCAAGATGGGGGTGATATTCGCCACCACAGTTGCCGTTGCGGCCAGCTTGTCCGACCAGTACTCGGCATTCGTCATTGCTGCGGCGATAATGGCCAGCGGCGAGTTGGCCGAAGACTGCCTGTGCTGGAGCACAACGTTGACCGCCTCCTCAGGAAGGGGAATGTAAACCTGTGTCAAACATGTGTTTCTCTTGGGGCGGGGTCGTTTCATCGTGTGTTCCTTGTCACCCCCTCTGGCTAATTCTTTCTCCCCCCGCGTTGTGCCTTCCCGCCCTCCCGCCAACTGTCCCCTCCACCCCCCTGTTTCCACCTAACCATCCCCGATTTCCCTGTTCCCTTCTCCTCGTCCTCGCTCTAGTCTCCTCCCTCCGCTTGGGCTGCAGTGGTAGACCTGGAGTTTTCGGTAGGGGGCAGGCGTATCATCATTATCACATTTCAGAACCAACCCCTGTCCACGTTATCTTCGTCAAAGGTGCTCGTGACAATGGCCGTCGCAGCTTGCGCGATGACCATCACATCCTTGGAAACAGCAGACACCTTGGAGCTCAGCTCGAGCCAGTCGCACTCATTGAGTTCGTCGAGAACGAAGCGGCACCACTTAAGGAGGAGCGGGGTCCCCTCCACACCCATGCGAACGACGGGGATGACGAAGCCTTCGAACACGGACGCCTTGGGGAGCGGGGGGAGGGCGTGACAGCAAGCAGGAGCAATAAGTCAGAGGTGATCAGATACCGTCGATAACTTGAAGAGGGGGTCATTGAAGAAATGCGATGGCAGGCGCATTTTAAATCTAGGTGGATGGTGAGGGTAGAGTGGATGAGGGCAACGGGGGATAGCAGACAAGCCCAGAACTTGGGGGAGGGGCGTCCCCTCCTCCTGCTCCCCGCTCCTCCTCCTCCTCCTCCTCCCACCCTCTTCCTCCTCCTCTATCCTCCTCCATCCTCCTCCTCATCCTCCACCCCCTCCTCCTCCTCCTCCTCCTCCTCCTGGCCATCCAACCTCTCTCCTGCAATTCATTTTTGCCGACAGCGCCTTGTACTCGGCCACCATCACCGAATCGTTGAAGCCACAGTCGATGATCCCCGCTGTCGTGGGGCTTGGCGGTGGGGTGATTCTCGAGCGCCACAGAGATGTAAGGTTGTGGAGTTTCTCCACGTCCGCGAGCCCCTGACACGACGAAACGTGCTTCTTCACGACTGCCAAGACCGTGCAGTCATGAGACTGGATGCCCTCGTTCTGGAGAATGGTCATGTGCTTCACTACGTCGGCCCAGGTGGTGGCTGCGTCGGCGATGGCTTGCGGCGTAGTGTGGAAGGCAGTCTGGACAAGATTGCAGTAGTTATTCAAGCGGTTGCCGTCGTTCCAGGTGTCCTGGCGGCGCTTCAAGCGAAGCACTCTGCGCCGCATGCCCTCCACGGTGCGCTTGTCCAGCTGCATGGCTTGAACTTTGGAAATCGGGCATCGGCCCTTCCACACATCCACGATGTCTGCGCCTGCTGGGTATGTTTGCAAACTTGCTGCAAACTGACTGGCCTATGCGACGGGGGAGTGTTCGGACACGGAGTGGTTACCGTCCAAAGCAGGGGCATGGGGCCCGATTGCGATTGACAGCCGGCGGGGTCCGACATCAAGGTCGATCAGTCGTTGGGGGGTGCGCACAACGGGGTTAGGAATGACGGGGCGGGTTGCGGAGGGGTTCGCAGGGAGATTGTGGCAGGGAGAAAGGGCAGGCTGGGATCTGTAGGAGATATGCGATGGGAGTGATGGGAGGAGCAGGGGTTGATGGCCACTCCCTCCTCGGATAACCTCTCTTCCATCGCATCCCTCCCTCAGTTAAGTCCAGCAATCCCTCCGTCCCAACCCATCCTCCCATGCCCCATGGCCCATGTCCGAGTTCTTATTCATATCATCGTGGGGGGGGGGGCTGGCGGTAGACCGTTTCTAATCCCCATGCCCGCCTTACGGCCCTTTTCGAAACGGTCGCGGCACTTACATTGACTTTCCCCCCTGACAAGGATAAAAAGCTTGCGTATACAGTACCCCCTTAGCCTTCACCAAGCTCGGCCTCGTCGCCGATATCTCCGCCCTCGGTGCTCTCCCCCCCGAAGACGCTGGCAGGGCCGACGGACGCGCTGTCGCCCAGGGCGCGGAGCGCGTCCTTCGTGAGCTTGGCCGAGCCCCCTGCTGTCGCTCCATCTCGTGCATGAGCGCCTTTGATATTCTTCGCTGGAGGGGGCATGTCGGATAGCTTCGAAGCCGACGGACCCGTTGGAATTGGAACGCAGGGAGACGAACCCGTTGAGCTGTGCTGTGTAGTACCTCTCGACCCACCCACTGTTGAGCGAACGCTGTCCTTTTCGCCGTTGCTGCTCTCTCCACCGCTGAGCTGGTCGTCGTCACCGCCGCGGTTGGACTCCGCAGGTTCATCGCCAGACGAACGGCCCTCCGCATCAGCCTGGAGCGCACGAGGGTGCGAACGACTCACCTTGGCTCGCTTGGGATGCGGCGGCCTAGGGCCACCGTCTGCACTCAGCTGACGCACGACATCTGCGAAGGTGTTGGCCGATGAAGACGGTAATTCTGAGATAATCGGTGATATCGAGATGTCGGATTGTGCTCGGAAGTGCTCGTGCGTGCCGCCTTGCCATAGCTGCTCGCTTGCTTTGATGGCAACGTGGCTGGCATCCGCCCAGAAGCCCCTCTGCACGACCAGCTGCCTGGACGTCGCCTGGGGGAAGACGAACGTGTTCTCCATGACACCGTTTACATTTGGGAGTTCCACTTGCGCCAGCTTCTTCAGAGGGACCTTGGGGGGACGTTTCAGGCTCGTGGCGTTGCGAAGGTCCCCCTCCGAGGCGATGTCGTACTTGTCCTCGGTAAAGCACCATGCGCGCTGACCGCGCATGACCTCGCCCCTCTCGAACGACGAGTGTGTCCCGCGCCTGCACCGACGAGCAGCTGCCACGGCAACCGAGTGCAACTCATCAGATTTGCACAATTTGACGAACTCGCTCCAGGTCATGGTTGGCCACCCCAAGCGGTTCAGATCCCAGCACTCGACGCACGCGTCGGCTGGCATGCTCATGAGATCCTCCGTCCGCTGCGCCTCGGGCAGTACCTCGCAAAGAAAGGAGGGGTGACGAAGCTAAAGGCCGACCCCCCTCGACAAACTACAAACGTTACAAGAGGGGTGACGAAGCTAAACACCGACTCATCCTAGACAATATACCAAGGTTGGGTATGCTATGTATTATTGTTCCAGAGCGATCCCATGGAAGAAAGGGCACTGGCTCCCCGTCAAGCGCGCAGCACACAGTCGAGCTCCTGCGCCTGGGCTTCGCCGACTCGGGCATCCTCGCTGCTGCGGTCAAGTCTGGCCGCGTGGCCTCAAAGCGTGACTCCTGAAAAATCACACCGAAAAAGGCTTCGGGAACCCACCGTGGGTACGTAATGGTCATCCCTCCTCCTTTCTCTGCCCTCTATTCACCCTCCCTCCTCCCTCTCCTCGTCGGCGTTCTCTCACTTAGCGCTTGCCGTTGCCGTTTGCCCCCCTTACCCGCCGCTCACATGCCAGCCGACAAGGGTGGGGAGGCTCGAGAGACCAGGGCAGATGAGACGGAGCGCGCTGCAGCGGTCTCGTCAGAGGGCACAGAAAGGGGGCTGGCAGGGTCAGTCGACCTCGCCGACTGGAAAGGCATGTTGAAGCGTTGTAAAAAGAAAGGCCTGCAAGGATAAAAGCCTGTAGGGTTAAGGGTATTTAGGGTCTGTAGGGTTGACGTTTCTAGAGTGGCTCTAGGGGTTTGTGGGGGTACGTAAGAGTTTGCAGTTCTCTCAGACAAGGGCACCAGGGGCCAAGAGCGGCCAAAAGCCCCAGGGCCGAAGCCGAAAGCCAAGGATCCGTAGGGATAAGGGTCTGTAAGGTTCAGGGTCTGCAAGGCTGACAAAAGGTCTGTAGGGTCGGTAGGGTTACGGATTCTTGAACGGCCCCAAAGGTCTGCAAGGATAGATGTATCTTGGCATCTCCTGCTCAGCCACTTCCTCCTCCTCCTGCTCCTCCTGCTCCCTCCTCCTCCGTCCTCCTCGTCGTCGTCCTCCTCCCCCTCCTCCCCCTCCTCTCCCTCCATTGCTGCCTCCCGCACCTCCCACCCGCGCCGCTGGGTGCGGCCAGCAGTTGACGGCGGCAGCCACTTCGCGCCCTAGGCGCGGCCACCAGTAGCTCCTCAGACTCACTGGCGGCCCGCCCGATGCACTGGTATGCCGGCGGCGGGGGGGGGGGGTCCCAGAAATGATTTTAGCGAGGCAAAAACTGACTCAAAAGTGACTCAAAAAGTGACTCCTGGAATGGGTCTGGGACCGCGAGTGGGTCTAGAAGTGAGTCTGAGTACAGGTGGGTGTCCCAAAGTGACTCTCAGCAGTCACTTCCTCTCCCAAGGGGTGTCCGAACTGGGTCGGAAATTGAGTCAAAAGTGACTGTTTTGACACACGTTCTCTAGTTCCACTGGTTTTTCACAGCGTTCGAGGAGACGTAATACTTCGTGCTGCGAGAGAAGCTTTCGGAGAAGCCTCAGATCGTTCAGGAAGCCTCTGGAGGAGGGGCGACGAGAGAGGGGACAGGAGGAGGAGGGAGGGAGAAGGACGAGGAGGAGGAGGAGGATGAAGGTTAGGATGCGGAGGACGAGTACGATTTTCCAGCATTGAGCTGGCAGCTCCCCCTTAGGCCAAGTACCCGTCTAGCGTAAGGGGTTCCTCAGGCTCCGCACCCTCGCGTGGCCTCTCCTTCTCAAACAAAGCACGAGCGTCGGCATGCTCAGCCAACGAATGACGGAAGCGCGTTCTCTCAACGGGATCTTGCAATTGGGGTGCCCCATCTTTGAGCACGTCCACGTGTTCTGCCTTGCAAGTGAGAGCGGTGCCCGAGGCGAGCCAGGAAGCCAAGAATCCTAGCGGGCGCCCACCCTTCGGAAAACCATCATGACCAAGTCCTTTGGACTTGCAAGTGCGACGTATTTTACAAGACTCGTGTTCCGTACACATGGCAAAGAATTGAGTGGATTTTGGATAGTATGCGATCCAACCTCCACGCACCCTGCAAGATAATTCGGCTGGGCGTCTGTCCCCAGCTGCATGGCCAGGACCGTCGCCGAGCGGAGGCGGTGGCGGTGGAATCGGCGCCTCGCCACCGTGATCTGGTAGTGGTGCAGGCGGTTCCTCGGGGGGGGGTGGAAGTGGCGGGTCTGGTCCAGGCACGCCGCCCCCTTCAATATGAATGCCCTCGCCGCCGACGCCCACGCCTTCGCCGTCACCATCAGCACGCCCGCCGCCTGGAGGGTGAGCAACGTCCCAGTCGTCGAAGAGATCTTGCAATTCCTCCAGCGCAGCAGCTACGCTGTCATCCCCGCCTGGGCAATGAATAGTATCGCCTGCAGGCCCACCACCAGCAGCAGCCCAAGCACCATGGGCATCCTCACCTTCGTCTAGACCATCCTCGATCGCCAAAGCGACGTCCTCGTCGACATCATCCAGCGGTGGCCGTCCCCCATCTGCTCGCGTTCGGGCTCGCTTGTGCTTACGAGGTGGTGGCCAGAACGCTTCCAGTTCCGCAGGAGCCATAGAAATGGCTGGGACAACGTGAGGGTTCACGCTGCCGATGACGCGCCTCGTGTTCTCCAGCTGGTAAAGCCTTAGAGACCACCGCTGGCACTCTGCCAAACTGTGAAGGCCACGTAACCCCGCTTGGAAGTCTCCAGTTGCCTCGAGGGGGCACATCATTTGCTCACGCTCTTCGGGCACACGGGCTCACGCGCATGTTATGGGAAGCACAAAGACATACTAGTACTATATGTCCTCCTTGGAGGCGCGCGTCCGACCCGAACATATAGTATACCCATCTTGTAGTATATCGTTTCCCGAGCGGTGTGGCCAGAAAGCGCCCCCCACGACGCATATACTATAAGATTTCTCGGTGCGCGCGTCGCCTCCGGGGGGGCGAAGCACATATAGTATAAGTATGTTAGGGTGATGCCGATGTTAGCGTGCTGTCGCTGCTGAGTGGTAGTAGCAGTGGCTTCCAACATAAGTGGGCCAACCTCGATCGAGAACGATCGCGCCATTACCTCTCAACATGCGCGCGCACCCGTGCCCCCGACGAGCGCGAGTAAAGGGGGTGCCATGGGCGTGACCTCCAGGTATATCCTCCAATCGCACGCAGGCACTTCACCCAAATCATCATGTAGCTGCATGCGGTGCATAGTTGTGCGGTACGGGTTCCAGAAGAGTAAACCAATCTGCAAGTATAAGTCCCGAGGACCTGGGGCGTGCGGCGGGCTTGCATCCTCGCCATGCAAGTGGATCACCACGAAGCCGCCCCGCAACAGTCGGCTGAACTCGGGCGATGATTTCGGACATCGCTCCTTCAACGCCCGATGCAGCGCGCTGAG